TGGAGTCAATGGAGGCAAACGAAACCGCGGTGTAATTCTTGGCAGCCCGAGTACAGACAGAAGTATCTCTCGTGCATCTTACGAAGTGATATTGTAGCGTGAGCTACACTGGCCGAGGTTGAGCAGTTTCGCGTGGCTATCAAGAGGCGTGCTGCGCAAGCGCGAGGAGCACTGACGTCGCACGGCGCAAAGCTGGCGCGTCGGAGCCGCCACCGCGCGCGCCTCGCCGGTCTGCGCATTCCAGAGGAGTGACGACATAGCTGCGGCAGACGCACTGGCGCCGCCGCGTGCCCAGCTGTGCGCTTCTGTTGCACCGTAGCCAAGTCTGACGCTGCACCGGAGCCGCTTGATAGCGCCTCTTATTTTGTGCGGATAAGCTCACGCTACGTATATCCTGGCATAGCCGAGCTAAGCCACCGCAATTTTTTCTATGAGTATGAAAATCACATTTTGCACTGGCTTTATAACGCGCACCCGGAACGAGCAGTTTCCCCTAGTGGTCACGATATCCGGAGTTCAAGTTTAACAAGTTTTGAATGTGAAAGTGAAAGGAGGAGAGGACACTCCTCCACGAAAAAAATTGCTTGCGGAAACTAAGGAACTTCCGCGAGCAGTCCTAGTCATGCCCTCTCCACCATGAAATATTGTGTTAAAAAAAGTACTTTCACTTTACTTTGAAAGCACACTTTGCTTCTAGTACTTACATCGAGCTCAGTGTACTTACAACTTTACTTGAACTACATAACCTCTCATTTACTTTCTACTTCGAGTATTTGTTTAGATTTACTTTACCCAACACTGCCTGCATGCCAGTGTTGAATTTCAACCGATTCTTGAAATGCTGCCGATGCCGAGTTCGTCATATCCAGTTATATCAGAGTGAGCAGTTTGACTTCCTAAGATTGATCCGAGCAACGTAAACCTGATTTCGGTATTTCCGGTGGTTTTAATGCGCACCCCACGCTTAGAGAAGGTGAATCATTTGACAACCGTGGTAGAAGACCCGAAGAATATAATTTTGGGCAAGCATAACGAAAGTGACACGTGACAAGGCAGCGCACCCGAAATCACCCAAAGCTCCCCGCACCCAAGCATGGCAAATTAAAACACACGCATAATACACGCTCGACACATGTTGCGCTTTCCTGCTTTAACAAAATGAGTAAGGCAAGTCTTTTTTTTTTTTGTTTTTTTATTAGTCAGTTGACGAGGAAGCCGCAGCACGGCGTGTCTGTTCCGCCTTCTACGGTCAGGCACAGTCACCTGGGACGCTATAGTTTCGGTCCGGTGCCTAGAACGTGTCTCTGACTGGTGTATTTACCGCGTCCGAAAAAAAGTTGTCCCACAATTTACGCCTGGTGACGTCATAAAAGTGTCGTGTCGTTGCCGACTGCTGCCATCTTTGTGGTGTCACGGCAGCAGTGGTGCATGTGGGCGACGCCTGTTCCGCCTCATGTCCCTCTCCAGTTTAAGAGTCCACGAAAGCTTCAGCAGCCAAGAGTTTGAACCCCGCGACGATGGATGTATGGGTGGGGTAAGACACTAAAATACACCAGTCCAGGACGCGTTCCAGACATAGCAGTTCCAGTATGTGTCGCTCCCGGAGTTGCCGCGGCGTCAGAGTCGTCTTCGGTGCGATGACATCTAGTTTGGCGCTCTATAACAATTTGTGTCCCCACCCCTCCCCCCTTTTCTTTTTGTCGCCGGCGTTTAATAGGGTTTTTTTCAGAACTTTATTTTGCTATATTGGTACAAAACGTTCATGACGACGTTCCAACGCGTAAAACTGACAAGGCGCCGCTCGCACGCATCTAAGCCCAGTGCGCCTCCTACACATCGTGGTGTTCGGCTTTCCCTCATAATCACCTAGCTTGCGGCGGTGCACCCTTTGCAGGCTGCCTGAAGTGGGACGGTTCATCATGGAGTTTTTGTATTGCTACGTAGAAAAGACATGGCATCGCGGATGTTTGACAGTGGGTTATTTGGCGATATATCACACATGGGGCAACTCTGTTTCGAATAACCGAAAATATCTCCATGCATTTAAGATCTTTTCTCCCTTTTTTTTCTTTTAATATAACTTTAATTTGGAAGTGATGGGGGACGGAGGCCTCGTCAAGCTTTTTTCATCGTGCAACCTTTTCTTTTGTCCACCTCACTCCTCTGAAGTGAAAATACAGTTTTTTTTTTGTTATTATAAGTGGGACATTTGGGCAATTTATTTAAACACCCTTATTTAAAAGGAAGGTTCCGTTCCTTAAAGAACATGGTTGTTATATTTGTTTAGTAAAATTTTATCGCTATAAAGGCACACAACCCTGTTTTGTTAAGTTTTCTTACGTTACGTATAAGTCACCGAAACATTCGTTTCTCGAATATGGCGTGTGAGGCTATCTCTTTGAACTGGATTCCACGCTTAACATGAAACACAGATTTCCCGGCGATTCTCAAAGTAAGCCTAAGCTTTCTCAACGTAAGAAAACAGGGCTCTGTGAACAGTGTGAACCATGCCTTAAGCTTCAATTGCAGCTTATCGTTAGGTTTTAGAGCGCAGCTCTAAAACTTAACGCTAAGCTGCAATCTCCCACTAAATGGGAGGCGAAGAGAGGACGAGGAGGGGAGGGCACGGAAGGAGAGGAGGCATACTTTCTCCTCCTTATCCTCAAGAGCTGCGCTCTAATTTCGGATTAGAGCATTTTAAACGAGCCACTTTCTTTACTAATATATCAAGCATAAAACCATAAAAAAAACCTGCAAATTGTTTAGTATTCTAGAAAACAATTTGTAGCAGCGATGAAAAAGTAATTTGCAGAATTGCGTTTTATGAAGAACGCAGCGGACGCTAACTCCAGCGATGCCGTGTGAATCGTCGTCCCGTCCTCGTTTTGTGCCGTTCCTTTTCTATCTGGATTGTTTTCGAAGCTTTCACAGCTGGTCAAGTCTTCTTGAAGTGTATTGGAGTCTTTTCTCCTGCCCCATCTTTTTTTTTTTTTTTTGTTGCCAATGAAGATTTTGGTGCAAGTCTCTGGCAGCGGCGAACTCTTTTCGACCTTGGCACGTTTCACGTTTCAAGAAGAGATTATAATTAAGTAACAATGCAGATTTTGCATTAATTTGCATTTTCTCGACGCATTCTTGGCACTCGATTTGATCAATTGTCGATAACAAACGCATAGAAACAGAAAAAAGTCGTGTAGCACTTTTCTAGAAGCTTGATTTGCCTCATTGAATTGTAGCGGTAAAACGGAGTATGGGAAATCGTCGGAAAACGACGCGTAGCCACGACATTGTTTCATCTGCGCCGACTACCTGCATATCTTCAAATATTTTGTTGAAATTTCGACAAATATATTTGGAAGGTTAATGTCTGAAACGATCATTAAGAAAAAAGTTTTGAAAAGTGTGAAATATGTGGGAAGACCAACAGACCGGGGAGGGGGGGGGGGGGGGGGGGGGAGGGCGGTGCAAGTATTAAAAAAAAGTGAGAAATCAACCTAACTGATCGTGGTGGGACTCGGTGAGAAAGTCAGCGAAGTTCGATTGGCCAGTGCCACTCCGAGCTAAGTAAGCTCCAAAGCCAAGCGCGGCACTGAGAAATTGCGGCTGTAGGCGGTCTCGCAGACTTACTCACCGAGTGTCACACTTATAGTCTGTGCTACGAAGGAGAACCGGAATTAGGTAAACAAAAGAGGGAGGACGCGATGAAACAAAACAATTGTCTAAAGTTCCTTATTCCCGCCTCATAAGATGTTGATATTTCTATGAAGCAGCCTTCAACGAATGCTTGATGAGTTAGAATAATTGACACGACTCCTCAAAATAAAAGGAACTGTTTATTTAACCAATTCGCGCAATGAAGCACAGTCGAGAGCGCGTAAACAAAAAAGGAAAGGCACACATAAACAGGTGTACACAATCTCGCTCACAGCGCGTATTTAAGAATGGGGCTGCCACCGCGACGCTTTTCGGGATAAAAACAACTCGCACAAGACAAGCTCGTAAGCACCACGTGTGACGCGTGCAAACGGAGAGCCGGAGCAAGAGTTCGCGCAACGAGCAATGCTTTATAAAACAAAGACCTTCAGCAATGCATGCTGCCAAGTTGCGTTTTGTACGCATGCCAAACGTAATGCAAGATGAACCAAAAGCCACAGTAAAAAAAAAAAAAAAAAAAAAAGAAACAACGAATAGGGCAAACAGTAGAACGTCAAGCTCGTTTCACTTGACCTCAGTGAGCGCGCTCGCTCGAATAACACGCTTGGTCTTGTTTAATGCGCAAGCGCGCCGAAAGATATACCTCCATTTTCGTTTATGTAATATCACGAAATCGTGGATTGGCCGGCCGATCAGCGCCGTATTGGTCGACGTTACCATAAGTATTAAAAATATGAGGAGCTGTATACGTTTTCATGAGGACAGACCAAACAAAATGGTTGCCCTACTGCTTCTTGACCAGTGAGAAAAAGACACCGAAGATTGTTTAGCAAGTGACTGACACGACTAGATCGCCAAGACCCCATCACTGCGAACGCTCAAAATCGAGTTTTACCGAGTCGTCGTTTGGGGCGTTGCTGCAGTAATGGTAGGTGTAGCGCCGTTACCGGGCGTTTCTCGGAGACATTGTTAACTACTTGCTAAAAATTGAAAAACTATATATTAAAAATAAAATCTCCAATGACGGCGACGCACTGATTTCAGCCATAACAGTAGTTTACTGAACGGCCCGGTAAAACTTTTCTCTCACCATACGCATATTACCAAAGCTTTGGGTACTTCGAGCAGCTCGAACTGCATGAGGTCTGAGCTTGCTCAGTGCGACGACTGTTTGAAGCACCCAAAATGTGGGCCCCGCATTCTCAAACTCTCTATTATGTCGATGTGCCTTTGGGGCAATCCCGCTCTGTATCGGGTTTCCCTTCGTGACGTCGTCGCGCTCAGCGCCATCGTATTGGGCGTCGACGACAGGCCGTAGCCTGACCTTGAATGTTCCATCGAAGCGCTCAGGCTATGTTGACGGTGGATCCCCGGTAGGTGGGGATCTTGTGCACGATGGCGGCGGGTGTGTACGGAAGGTTCGGCTCCTGGCTGTCCCAGTGCAGGTCCCGCTCAATGCGCGGCAGCTTTCCGTACATATCGTCGACGGTCAGGTACGAGACCTGCGTGTGACGGTCGATGAGCCAGTTGGTCTCGAAGTCGTCGTCGTCCTCGCCGAACGGGTTGATCAGCTGCTCGGCGACCTGCACGACAAAGCTCGGTCCAGTTGGGCTGCAGGTCAGCTGAAAACTCTATAATAATCCCACCGAGCGTGTTGGTAAAGTGTACCAGATAACAGAAATAATAAAACACAAAAAGAAGAAAACACCGCCAGTTTGCGCCTTTCCTACGGGTGTTTCTCGGTCTTTCTCAAAATTACTAATTTAGCGTTTTTTTATGAAGCTCAGCGATGTATATTTGGAACCACCTTCACTAATTAAAAAGAACCAACAAATGTAAGCTAATTGACCGACTCATCGTTACGATTAGCCCCCCATATTATGTTCCCCTAACCGTCATAACTCACCCTAATGGACTGCAATAAAGTGGCTTTACCTCATTTAAAAAAATAAATAAAAAGAAAACGTATAATTTTAAGCAGCATTTTGTATATTAGATAACTTGCATCCAATGTGCAGTATATGACTGCACTATTTTGATGTTTACAAATCCGTAGAATTTAGGGTGTACAGATGATACAATGTTGGTCCGGGTCATATTTTTATATTTATGTAAAAACTATACGCTAAAGTCATGTTTGTAGGAGGAGCATTCGGCTATATGCGAACTCCGTAGTTATTTTGCTTCCGGGGATGTCAAATTTTGAAGCTCGAGGCGTAGAAATTGGCAATGTTTCGCTATGGTACTCTGCACAGCCGTCAATTTCCCACCGAAGTAATCACGTGGTCGTAATGTTTTCTACTTATTTCATGAAGGGTTTACGACATGTAAACATAATATTAAGAAATACAATAAGATATTCTTATGCAATAAAAAAAACGAAACACGTTTTATAGGCACATTTACAAATTATTCACCAAAGTACTACTTTATATAAAACGACGCAAAATATCGTCACGCAGGTCGTCAATCGAGCGCATGCGTGGCCGAATGGTTACCAAGCTTGGCTTTCGCGCGGAGGCCCCAGGTTCGATGCATGGGAGCGGACGCTCCTTTTATTTATTCTTTCAATCAAGCATTCTCGCACGTTCGAGGACCTTGTGGTCTGATCGAGGTAAGAATGTACGCGCCGACCGTTCAACGCAGAATGTTCCAGAAACCCACGCAGGCATACAAAAGGTGCTCCGCAATGCAGTGTGGAGTCAGTCTTCCGCTCGAACCTGCTGTTACGCCGACTTCGACGTCCGCGACGCTCTGTAGTTACCTTGTTTTCTTTTTGGTTTGGCACAAGTTCGCCACATCAACGTTTCAGTTTCCTTATTTATTCTTCGTGCCGTCACCTCGTCATTCTGAGCAAAATATCGGTGACCATCTATCTATAAATACATTTTATGAAAAAAAATTGTGCTTACTCATTATTGTAGTTTTGTTCATTCAAAACGCGACTCATTTCTCTAAATGTAAAAAAAATGCACGTCAAAATTAAAAAAAGTGCTGCAGCTATCTCGTAGTAGACTATAGAAAGTCACGCTGTCCCTAGCTTAGTTTTATTTTTGCTTTTCCCCCTACGCGCTGTTTACAAACAACCCCGCGTTTGCCCAGACAGGGTTTTGGCACTGCGCATGCGTAATTCGTGTGGGGTGAAGTGACTGCGCGGCGCCGACAGCAGCAGCAGCGCCATCATGGCGTCGTGACGTCAAAGGCGTGCGTTGATTTTAAATGGCGTCATTTCTACCAAGCACGCGCGTGTCCACCGGTGCGCTTACCTTGAGCCAGCCCATGAAAAAGATGAATTGGAGGAAGGTGAAGAAGGGGAAGAAGACGTCCAACTCGTGTCCCGGATACCGCATGGCCGGGTCCAGGCTCTGCCGCGCCACCAGGCACGTCACGAAGAACAGGTGCGTCGTTAGGGTAACCACCTGCAGCGGTTAACCACGTGCCAGTCTGAGGTGATGTGGAGGCTACTCTGATGTATGTACGTTATAGCCTAAGCCTAAAAAGGCAAACCTCAACGGGCTGAGGTGGGGGTTGCCAGTGGAAGCACACCTTTTTTATTATTTACTTATACATACTACAGGCTGCCACTTGGCAGCCAAGGCAGGAAGTGCATACAGGGCAACACACAAGAAAATCACATTACACACTAGTGAAAGAAAAAACATCTAGGACTGCACATCTGAGAAATAACGCCGTAATGATGAAGTAAATTCCTGGACGGACGCGACATTAGTAATGTTGGCAGGGAGACTATTCCATTCGTTAATGGTTCGTACAAAAAAGTAGTTTTTTAAACATTGGGCTCTGCTGTAAGGTACCAGGATTGTGTTGGAATGCTTATGCCGTGTGTGACGGGATGGAATAAATTGCATAAATCTGTCGAATGAAAGGCGAGACGAGTCGTGTACAATGGTATACAGAAGCCTTAGACGATTAATTTTGCGCCGGGTCGAAAGAAGCTCAATTTTTGACCTATTGTACAAGTTAGTGATAGAGCTCATTCTTTTGTATTTGTTATAAATGAAGCGTAGTGCTTTCTTTTGTACCCCCTCGAGTCGATTAATATTAAGTTTAGTCGCAGGGTCCCAAACCACATCCGTGTATTCTAAAACAGGTCGTATTATTGTCGTTTAGATTGCAAGCTTGGTTGCAGGATTACAGTGCTTCAACCGCCTCTTCAATGACCATAGCTTTGCCTTGTGAGCAGTCCAGGATATGTGGCTATTCCAACTGAGGTTCGAAGAGATTATGACACCTACGTATTTGAATTCGTGCACAACTTGTAAAGGGGAGTTTTGTATACGGTAATTAAATTCCAAGGATGACCTTTTGCGCGTTGCTCTCATTTGTATACTTTTCGAGCTGTTTAGCAACATTTGCCATTCGTTACATCATTGAGAAATTGAACGAGGCACTTGTTTAAACTAAGTGGGTCATTGCTCGAAGCTATTTCAGTAAACAGCACACAATCATCTGCAAAAACCCGGCAGTGTATATGCTCATCAACCGACAAATCGTTTAGAAAAACAAGGAAGAGCAGTGGGCTCAACACCGATCCTTGTGGAATTCACGAGATGACTGGTACAATTGGGGAACAGTCCCACCTACCTCAACGAACTGATGATAGTTGCTCAAGTAAGAATCCAACCATCGCAAGAAGCTGATCGTTTCCTAGTATCACTCTTAACTTGATAAGTAGTTTGCTGTGTGACACGCGATCAAAACCCTTGGCGAAATCTAGGAATACTACATCCATTTGCCCACCCTTGACAACGACTTTCGCAAGTTTGTTTACTATATAAAGGAGCTGAGTTACCGTAGAGTAGCCACACCGGAAACCATGCTGGCTCTGATAAAAAAAAATATTCAGATTCAAATTGTGACATGAGCTGACTAAATTAAAATGCTCTAGAACCTTGCTACACGAGCAGAGCAAGGAAACGGGCCTATAATTCGATGCGTCATGTTTATCTCCTTTCTCATGGATGGGTATACCTTTTGCCACTTTCCACTGTTTAGGTACCACCCCTCTCTCTAGCAAACTATTATAAATTAGAAAAAAAGAAATTAAAACGCCCCTCAACGTATTAAAAAAAAATATTAGGCATTTTGTCTGGACCGCAATACTTCTTTGTATTCAAATTTAGTGAAGCAGAGAAGATTCCCTCCTCTGATATTTGTATGTCTGGTACGTGAGCGAGTTTAATCGAGAACTCGGGAACGAAGTTGTCACTTGTGGTGTACAAAGAGGCAAAGTAGTCGTTAAATATCTTCGCGATTGAACTATTATCAACGAATTCACTCCCATGATTAATGATCTTGTTAACTGAGTGTCTTGAACCCGACACATGCGTCCAAATCTTCTGGGGATCGTGACGAAGGAAGTTTGACATTTGAACGTTGAAATACTCATACTTGGAATTATTAATGAATGTTCTCAATTTATGACAAGGGCAGTCAATTCTATTTTGTTTTCGCGTGTTCTTCTTAGCCTATTGGCCTTCCTTTCGATTTGTAAAATCTCCCTTGTGACCCATGGGTTATTCTTTTTAGATCGCTTCTTACGAGATGGCACAAACCTTTCTATACACCACCGCATTTTGAAAAGTGCACCATAGTTCGTCTACATTCCATCCCAAAACTGAAGCCCTATAAACAAATCTGCCGAACGATAGATCGAGGTAATTTATTATACTTTCGTCTTGTGGTCTATTATAGCCCTTAAACTCCGATTTTTAATGAGGACAACATCTGGGAACAATTCGCGTACAATCAAAAACAACCATATGATGGTCGGATAAGCCCTCTGTGATCACACAGTGATAATCGGCAACACACAAATTCCAGTCAAAAACAACCATATGATTGTCATCGGCAACATACAAATTCTGAGAAACAAAAACAAGATCAAGATCAAGAATCGAACTAGTAGAATCTGTGATGCGCGTGAAAGTTGACACTATTTGTGTTAAATTATATGCGAAGGCAATATCTATTAGAGCATCGGAATGTTTCCAAGAGGCCACTGTGGTCATCGAAGGCTAATTGATGTTTGGGAGATTGAAGTCTCCCCCCCCCCCCCCATAATTATATTCATGAAATTCTTAGATTGCTCCTGTAAGAAGTCTTGAAGCTCATACATCGCAGCTATGCCAGCACTTGGCGGCCTGTAAACAGCTCCGGTCTCCCTTAAAGGGGCCCTGCAATCATACTTAAGCGTCCTTTTTTGCGGTTTTTACGTCTCTTGAGGTTCGGGCAAGCCAGCGGGCCCGGAGAAAGTAACTAAATATTAGTGAGTCATATTTTAACCGGACGACGCAGAAACCTCCTCCACATACGGGGGCGACCCGCGGTGTTGAAAGCGCGCTATGTGTGACGGCATATGACGTTTTTGGTTCTGGCCAGAGTGTCGAACCGAAATTTTTATCGGTTCGGTTCCGGTTCGGGTTCACGGCTTTCGGTTCGGTTCCGGTTCAGTTCCGGGGAGCAAAAAATAACGGTTCAAACCGGTTCAAACCGGTTCGAACCGGTTCGAACCGGTTTGAACCGCTAAATTGAGAATATCTTTTTCGCGTTGTTCTGGCAATATACATTATTTATGCCGCGAAACGATTAACTCTATTGTTTCTTCGATCGTCCGTGCAATTTAATTTTGTTTTTAGGTGCCAAAATATGAAATTCAGTTATTTAATTTCGACACAAGAGTAGAAACAAGTCTACAGGGTGTCACAAAAGAAAATTTACACGGTCTTTTTTACCGCAAAATTAAACTAGGCATCGTCGAATGCTCATTCTCCGCTCAAAGGTAGAGCTAGAGGTCACAACCAGATGCCAAAGTTTCAGCCCGATCCGATAACTTAATCAAAAGTTATAAGTGATTTTTTCAAAATTTCAATGGGAAAATGGAGCGCATTTTTGCCCGTTTTGGGTTTGTGGTACCATAGAGCCCCATGTGTTCGAAAACTCTGTCGGCCGCCATTTTCCCATTCAAAGCTTCAGAAAATCACTTATAACTTTTGATTAACTTATCGAATCGGGCTGAAACTTTGGCACCTGGTTGTGGCCTCTAGCGCTACCTTCAGGCGGAGAATGAGCGTTGGGCGATGCTAGTTTATTTTTGTAACAAAAAAGACCGTGTAAATTTTCTTCTGTGACACCCTGTACATTAACATACATAACGTCGTGTTCATACGACTCCACATCCCTTTGTTTACCAGTAACATATATTTTACCTGAATCAAAATGTTTAAGTACAAGAGTAAAGAGTTAAGCCATGGTTGGTACATACCTGTAAATAGATCAGCTTCTAATTTAGAACTATACTGTATTTTATTGTGCTTTCTTCGTGTTTAAGTAAACTTCTAAAGTTCAAGCTTATCTATTTACATGGTATAAAATGTTGTCCCAAAGTGTGGTAGGTTGCCCAAAAATACCCGTGATTGGTACTACTTTGTGTCGCAGTGTTAAAAATGAAATCGTGATTGTGTCCTTGAACTAAGGAATGAATTACATCACATAAAATTATGAAATGAGCACCTCGGTGCTCATGCTAATTATGAAATAAGGTTTACGAGATACACTTCACAATATATATGTATATGATGACGACACAACTGAACTCTATTGTTTCTTCGATCGTCCCTGCAATTTAATTTTGTTTTTAGGTGCCAAAATATGAAATTCAGTTATTTAATTTCGACGCAAGAGTAGAAACAAATCTACAGGGTGTCACAAAAGAAAATTTACACAATTAAATTTTCAGAATGTAACAAAAGTTTTAGGATAATTCCTTTTGGTGTATTTTTTATAGAAACACCGAGCGGCAATCCAAATGCTTGTTGTTCTAACCAAACATTCTTTACACTCAGCACCGCATGCACGCCACTAATCATGCAGCAAGAAGTAATCACAATTGTTCACTCTAATCTATACGCACCTTCGCACTCAGATCAAATCCGGCCCAAAATAGCGCTTGTCCAAGTGAACATTTTCTTATGCAGAATAAGCGGCATAGCCTGGCTTTTGAGGTTTGTTCTTGACAAGATGCCGGTCAATTTAATTTGCAAATGAGCATCACTTTTGCTAACTGATGATTTTAACTCGATAGCGTTAAGGAGCTCATGTCGCAGAAAAGCTGATGTCGGTGGCGTGACTGGAAAATCCTGATTGGTCGATAGGTCCATGACGTCAGAGCTGCATACCCTCGCGCAAGAATTTAGAGCAACCCACTATGCTCACGTGAAACGTGACATCACGCGTGGAATGAGTGTGATTAAAACATGACATGTAATGCGAAATAAAGGTCGCCGTATGTCTCAAATGATTTCACTTTTGAAAGTAATTACTTTGCCTTAAAGAAAAAAAATTAAGAATTTTTGCGGGATTCGAACTTACGACCCTTTAGTTGCGAGTCAGACGCTTT